CAAACAAAAATGAGCGAACAAAACTTTTATTTCGTGTGCCATTTGTTCATTGTTCGCATTTGTTGTTTAATTTCCAGCTTCTTCTTGTTTCTTTTGACAGTTTTATTTTGGCTGAAAATCAGGTGGACTATTTAATTGTTGATCTTTTTTGTCGTTTTCTGGTTCTTTTGTTTGCGGGGAGTTTGATATGTCCATTATTTGAAAGTAACATTTTCAGCTTGTTTTGTAGCTTTCAAAATATGACAGTTTTAAAGTGAGTGTTGTAATTGGCTAAATAAACTTTCTGAAAATGATAGATGGTTACTTTGATCAATATTTTGAACGATTGGTTACATTATTTTAAGAAAAGCCACTTTAACACAAAATAATATAGTACATTTATAAATAAATCTAGCTGATACCAAAGGATGTTATTTTTAAATGCTCTTGTTGCATAAACAAAGGACTGTGGAGTAATTTGAAAACAACTCAAACGTGGGTCGTCTCATATTTCCCTCTCATATTTTTTCCACATCCTTTATCCTGCCGATGACGGAAGTCTCAAAGTGACAGACAATTTTAGCGTTAACAAGAATAACAGCAGCCGACTGGAGTGATGGAAACTTTAGCCACATGTGCGCAAATATTTTTTTCTCCTGCTTCTGGCTTCTTTTTGCCTCCTTGCTCCAGTCAGCATAATAATGAATTGCGTACGTACAGAGCCACCGGAAAAATCCTTGTTCCAGGAATCCTGCAATCCTTGCCATCAGCAACATCAGGCAACTACCTATAGTAAAAAGCTCTGAGCACTCGCTTAGCTACCTCGCCACGCTTTGTTGGCTGCAGCAATTTTACAATTGACTGTTTCTACAGTTTCTAAATGGGGAAACTCCCCGTTTCGCAGTGAAAACCCCCTATTTAACGGGTAAAGGGGTGGTGAAATGGGTGGGTTTGTAAAACGCTTGACTTGTTTTACGCATTATTTACTTAGTTGGGGATGCTGCTCCATGCTCCTTATGCTCCCCATTTACGTGTGCACGTGTTTGTGTAACTACATTCACGAAAAAAGTTGTATCTTAATATAAAATTCTGATTTTAAATGTTTGAAATCTCTAAAAACAAGTGTTAATTTGTAAATACTGTAAAAACTGTTTAAAACTTAGCATGTATTTTAATGATTTTAACCTCCATGTGACCCATTTATTTACTAAGCTCAAAATTCTTTATTTTAAGTATCTTTAAATTTATTTAATTAAAGCATCATTTTCGATGTCAGTATCGATATTAACGATATTTTTCAAACATCGATGTTTATCCGATACATCGATGTTTTTGAGGACCAAAAAATCTTGAAATACGAAAGTCTCTTAACGTAGGGAAAAATTACCATAAAAGAATTTAAGCATTTTTTTCAGTGTTCATGTGCGTGTGTAGAACACACTGTGCATCCATTTAAATGTGTGAGTGTGTCCATTCCGTGGGGAATAGGGGCGTGGCAAATGAACTAGGATAAAAGTAAGTTTGCGGCAAGCAGCAAAACGTTTGGTTACAATTAATTCCGTACTCTGCGTTGGGCAGAGGATGCGGGTGCTATAATGGGGGTTGAGATGCTCGGGGTGGCCCCTTAATGTAAGCAATTTGAAATGAAAACCGGCCCCGGAGTCCTGTAGCTGTAAAAGTATTTTGCGGGCATATCTACCATTATTTTCATCTCCAGATGGAAACAAATGAAGGGTACAGGCAAATCGAAATTCCCTGGCAGGCCATCAACAAAGGAATTCAACCAAAATGTACAAGAGACGAAATTACACGAATGTCAAATCAAAATTATCTACCTGGCGAAAGATTTTTTTATGCCGGACATAAAGCAAAAATGGGCCATAAAAATGCTTTAAATGCGTTTGGGAAATGTGAAAATGCTGGAGATATCTTAGCGGAAGAATGGTCCAATAAAAGATGTTGAAAGAGGCAATTTGATATATAAAATAACATTCATGTTTATTTCTGTGTTATTTAATACCCAGAACTTACTTGATCAACTTGTTTGCGAATCGTGGGAAGGGAATCCGCTTTTTGTCTGTCCGAATTGCTTATGGTAAAAGCAGAATGCACACACTTTTATTTTTTGGCACAAGATGCTAAATGACAGGCGGCTTATGCAACATTTATTTGATATTGTATTAAATATTTAACGCACGACACGATAAAACACTTTTGCCTCATTAATCTAACGCACACAAGAGCAGCGGAAGAAGAAGGAAAAGCTGCTAATTAAAGCCGGCACAACAAAATACACAGCGCTCACACACAAAAATCACACACATTCGCAGAAGGACTAAAGCCTTTAGTCGATGATTGATACGGATAGCCCAAGAAATTTCGATGTTTTCCCTTGGGGGCTGGGGGGTGGATAAATTCTGAGGTTTGCCTGTTTTCACGAGAATTTTACGCGACTTGCCAATGCGAGGCGAAAAGCGATGAGCAAAAGTTTTTCCGTCCTCACGTGAGCACTTGCAAAGGGAGACTGAAATTTTCCGAGCAAAAGAGCCTGGAAGTATGCAGCAGCCTTTGCCGTATAACACTACAGCCAGTATAACAGTTTTATGCGTGAGAGAGTGGGAAAAATATATATGTAGCTACTGTACAGGGATAGCTCTTTGATATTACCTGCTAAAAGGTAACATAAAATTTGGTTTAATGCACAACGACCTTCGGCATCATCAGCATAAACTTGGCCCAACTATTTAACCACCAAAAACGAAAAAAAAATAGTATAAACATATGTGTTCAAGCCAGAAAAACATTTCCGCCAAATTGCACAAGCCGAGTAGCGCAATTTATTTTTATTTGGACCCAGAGAACTTTATTGTTTTTTCTTCTCCCCCACCGAAACACTGATGATTATGATTATTTACTCAGCCTATTTATGTGTGGGCGTTTGGTTACATAATTAGGCCATTAAATATAAGTGCCTGTGTCTCTGATTTCTCCGATTTCCCCCCAGCATCACAAATCGATCAGGATGGCAAACAAATTCCGCTTGACAAAGAGCGGCAATTTTAAATGGAAACAGAGGGCCATAAAGAAAGCGTATTTTCAGCGACAACTTTTCTTCGGCGGAAAACGTAATTGAATTTTTATTGACATTCTAGCGGAAGCGGAGGTGAGGACAGCTGTCACTTGAGCAACAGAGTTGGCTGGAAATAAAGCGCAACTATTTTGCAGAAAATGACCAAGGAAGCAAAATGGATGGGGGAAAAGTCAGAAAATAAGAGACACACCAAGAAGGAGACAAAACAATTCGGAAACCGAAAGAAATTCAAGGAAAATAAAAATACTCGAAGTTAATTCCGCTTTTTAAGGCCTCTTTAAAAGGGGATTTAGTCCAGGGATTGCTTATGGCGGGCCAAGAATAACCTAATTACGGTTGACTTAAGCAAGCGATGGGTAAAATTCTGCAGATTAGGCTTAAAAAATGCTTGGGGAAAAGTTTAAAAATATAAATTTAAAGTCAGAAAATAAAAAAGGGGAAGGTTTTTGCATTAAAGGCAGATATTAATTAAATAAAAAGTCACATTTTAGGAAATATTTGATAAATTAAAATAATAAATTTGACTTATCTATGGATTTTTATTATTGTTTTACTATAACTGGAGTTTTTGGAGTGCAATGTTTCATCTTTTAAAAATAAATTCGGCTATTAGAAATGACAATAATTAAGTTATCCCTCCATTTGAACCTCATTGGTATTATTACTCCTTTTAAAATCGCAAATATCTATAGATATAAAAGTTTATTTTTATATATTTGACTATTTAGACTGAATACGTTTACCAATTAAAGTGCAGCCAGGGCATTTGTCACGGCTATCTGAACCATAATACGCCACTATTATCATTTACAGCCACACGCTTTAGTGGCCCCAATCGTTTTGCTCATTACCAGGAGGAGACGCCCTCGTCTCTGGCTGGTCATTAAATTATTTTATATGGCACATTAAAAGCGACCATAGACACACATACGCCCACACTCTCTAGACCTTCTCCACTATTACTCTACCGTAGATATATAGTAAGTGAAATGCATTTGCAGTAGGGGTCATAAGGCAAAGGCTTATGTGGGATAAAGGGGGCTGACCGAGTGGCAGCTCCATCTGCGGCAGGTTCTATTTGCTATTATTATCATAGTCGGAGTGCTTGGGCGGTTATTATTGTTACGAGTGTGTGTGCTGCCTCGGCTTCTAAGCAATTATTTAAAGCACACCAAGGACAGGAGAAATGCAGATACAACTTTCTCCCTTTCGCTGTCCGCGGGGAAAGAGAATGTCCAGCGTTGGCTGCTGAGATTTCAATTTAAAAACGAGGCCAAACTGTTGGTCGAAAGGGAAAAGGGGGCTTCACACACATGTGACCACAAGTTTTTATGCCAGCACAGCAGGTTGTGTCAAACACTGAAAAAAGATACAAGACCCCAAAGATAGAAAGCTTAATTTGGGAAATTAACAACTGCATAGATTTTTAAAATAAGGTTGAATTATTTATTTTGAGATAACAAAAACTTTATATTTTTTGAAAACAATGAAAACAGTCTCTACAATAATTCTTCACAATTCTTATAATTCCAATTCTTTTTCTTCATACATTTTTAGGATTATTTTCAAATAGAAAAAAAACCGTTTTCTTGAAAAATTTTCAATGTTTATATATAAATTTTTCCTTTGGCACTTGTTGAGGATTCTGTAACAATATAAACATATATTAAACCTATTAAATCATTAATTAAATAACCCAAAATTATAAATAATTAAGCAGTGGTTAGATGGAATATTTTTCGCAGTGCATCAGTCACCTCTGTGATAGAGTTTCGCTTCGGGCTTGCTGATTGCGTGCCATTGTGCGGCGAGATGCTTACATATTTATTTACAATTTAAATGCAGTCGCCCTGCCCCTCCGGCCACTTTTCGCACCTGTCACCACTGTTCTGCCTTTTTAATTGTCGCAATCAATTGAGCCAACAAAAGGTTAAAAGCTTAATTTATTACCTGTATTTCGGATGGCTTTTGCCAGCAGACATCGGATTCCGTTCAAAACTCTTGTGTAATCGCCACTCAGATATGTTTTTGAATAAAGACTGGAAATCGCAGCCTTATGTACATCGGAATTCGAGGGCCAGGCAAAAAGCGTAGTTTTCTTATCGTTCATCACATTATACCATTCCAGTTTTCGGCGTATGGCTTGCAGAATTTGTCGCTTTGTTTGGCAATTTTGTTGGGAAATCTCAATCGGCACCTCCAAAATGTCATCTATATTTTTAAAGGGCGAAGGTTTATATTTCTGATCATCGGAAATTTGATCCAAAAGCTGCTGAATTTGATTCATTTTCCACATAACATCCTCAAGGGTTTCAGTTAAATTATAATGTTCCATGAGGCATTGGAAATTGTTGGCATAATTTGGTGCGTCATCTTTATGCACTTCCTCGCAGTTGAGAAATAATTTTGTGGACTCTTCCATACCATGAAACTCTCCATAAGTAAAACTTATAATTTGAAAAAACACAAGAACTAGCAACATCTTCGTTCGGAGAAGTAAATCAAACTGCCATCGATTTGATGTCGAACTTGTGGCTTCATTTCTTGGTAATTGATTTTGTACAGTCAGGGAAATTAAATGTATACGAGGTGAAACATTGGCGATGCTCTGCCAACTTTGAAAACAGCACCATAAATTTTGCCTGGCACTCGTGAGGCTGCAAACTTTTGAAAACTTGCAGCTCATCCGGGTTTCCCCGCGCGAACTCGAGTTCTGCCAGCTTCACTTCCTTTGTGGCCTCATTTGCTGCCAGCCGCAGAAACGGCAGCGGCCACCATAAATAATCCATACAAATTAACGCAGCCGTGCACATTTAGCCATCCAAAAAAATGGAGCAAAAAAACCGCGAGACTCTGGCAAAAACACCAAAATGTATAACAGTTTAATCGGCACCACTTCGCTTGGCGGATGAAAAAAAACCCGAAATTCTAGCATATATATTTCTGTATAAAAAATAGCGCTTAAGCTCTTAGCATCCACCAAACCATTTTGGGTTCCGTTTCGCCATCAGGCAGCCCAGTTTTCTTTGGTAAGCAAAATTTATTGTTTGCGGAAGTTGTCTTTAATGGCGCCCGAGCGAGCAGCCACACCCACAAGGCCCATCGAAGCATGGTTACTCCTCTAGAGCTCCAGCCACTTTTTGCCCAGATTCCCCCGCCATTTATTCAGTCCGCATTTAGTTGACCTTCAGCTGCAAATAATTTCAACTCATTGAGTTTAATGTCCTGCGCCTTATGGGCGCGGCACAGCCATTTATAAGAACTCGTTGCCACGTGGATACAGTGCGTTTCAACACTAAGATTTTAATAATAGTAAAAATACCAAAAATATCGGTTAAATAAATAATAGGCACACCATTTTATTTAATAGTAACTGAAAGAAATAATCATTTTATGTTGCTAAATTGATTTTGTAAGTTTAAATAGTAAAACTATGAATGAATTTCACTAACAATAACACTGTAAATAATTATCAAATTTAAAACAAATTTTTTATTTATTTTAGCTTTATTTTCACAGAAACCTCTCTTATAGTTTCGAGTCACACCGTTTATTAGCTTTATTTGGCCACGTGTTTTCGACCAATAATCGCATGATTTATGGCTGACAATGGTCAGGGAGGTCCTTTTCCTCCTTGGCTCATAAATATTTTGCCAGCCTGTGTTTGTTATACCCTTGTAGAGGGTATTATAATTTCAGTCAGATGTTTGCAACGCAGTGAAGGAGACGTTTCCGACCACATAAAGTATATATATTCTTGATCAGGACCAATAGCCGAGTCTATCTAGCCATGTCCGTCTGTCCGTCTGTCTGTCTGTCCGTCTGTCCGTCTGTCCGTTTCTATGCGAACTAGTCTCTCAGTTTTAAAGCTATCGCGATGAAACTTTCCCGAAAGTCTTCTTTCTATTGCAGGTAGTACATATGTCGGAGCGAGCCGAATCGGACCACTATATCTTAAGGCTCCCATAGGAATATTCAAAGATATATAAGAAAATTCATTGTTACTTTGTAGGAAGTAGGCGTTTTAATTCTTGACTCTTTAAAAACAAAATTCAAAAATAGAAACGCTGAATCTGGAATCCCTGGAACTGCACCGAGTGAGCATTACTTTATCTGCAAGGGTATAAAAGCTTCGGCTGGCCGAAGTTAGTTTCCTTTCTTGTTTTTTTTTCCTTTTTCCATATTCCATGTTTCCAATTTTTCTGTCGCTCAAGTTGAAAATTGTATTTTAATATGGGATCCAGGACCCGCACTAAAATATACAATATTTTCCCCTTTTCAAGATGTCGGATGGACGCTAATGCGTTTATAAAGTGTTAACATTGCGTATGCGTAACATTTAATGGCAGCTGTGCAGATGGCTGACTTTCTTCCACCTCCTTTAGTTTATGTATGTAATTTGATTTATGCTTATGAAGAAGTGTGCTACGCCCTATTTTATGGCTTCGTTATTGGCGCTGGGCTTTGGGGTAAGAAATGGGGTAATAAAAATTTGAAGCTTGCCGAAGCGTTTTGTTGATATCCTGCAAAGACGGTCGTAAATTTAATTGCTGCGATTATTGCCGGGAAATTAGCGCAGATCAATGATAATCCTTAAGCTTAAGCCAACGATAAAGTAATTTTACGATCTGAACAGTAAAATGACAAATTAGTTTGGAACTACATTTATATTTGTAATAAAACACTAAAAATTATCATAATTTATTTTGTAAATAATCCTATTGAAATATTCAGATTGATAGGTCAATTTATTTCAGTGAAAATCACTTGATTTACTTAAATCAACTTTAGTATCAAATTTAAATGTCCTTTGCAAGAAACATTAAATTTCCATTTAGACAAAATATTCCAGCAGCCCAAAGCGAGGCCAATTTCCCAACGGCAAGGCCAATAATTTATGCTAATTCACTTGACTGCCAGGCAGACACCATCAGGCCACAAAAAACCCCAATGACAATGGCAATGACTTCCTGTGGCCGAGAGCTTCGCTCACACAAATAAGAGAATATCAAAATGGCAAAAATTAAATCGAGCCGCTTGTAATTTAGCCAATTGCACCAAAGTGGCCGACTAATTGCCTGGGGAGCCAAGTACAGGAAATGAATTTGCATGTCGGTTAACGCATTTGAATATGCAATCAGAATATGTGTCACGTAAAGAGAAGTAGTTCTCCGAGTAAGCCGACTCGTTAACATGATGAAGTTAAATAAAGCTCGTAGTCAGACATAATTTATTTAAAACAAACACACAGCTGGCATAAAGTAAAAGTTGGACGAGGATAAACTGTGAAAATACAAACAGAATCACAGCGGGCGTTCAGATGTACATATATGAGCTGTCTTGAATACAATTGCGGATAAATAAGCTTAAAAAGCTGGATTTAGAACATAAAATATTTAAAGAATTTTTTAAAATTTTTTAATTATAATTTTCTAATTTTGAAAATAAAATGAATTTAAAACACAAAAAATAATTATTTAACAAAAATAATGAATAGGATTATACTACCTATTTATTATCTCCTTGAACTTTAAGGTAGATTACTCTTGACTTGTCGATTATAAATAATTTAGATTGGAAAGAAATATTTTTGTATTTATTTATTTATGGATTGTAGGCTATGTTTCAACTATTTCAGGAATATTCTTTTACCGCCTGCTGTTAGTGCGTCTGTTTTCCATTTTCCATTCTCATTATTATGCTCAACACTTAGTTGGCAATTTTTTTCCCAGCTCGACGTCACCACGCCTTCGACCTTCACACAGTGGCAAAAGCAAACAAGAAATGGGCGTTGCGTTCTTTTGAATTTTCCAGAGGATTGAGTAGACTAAGCGTTTTGTCTACTTTCGCCCGGGCATCCGTTTCAGTTACCCGTTTTATCTTGTTGTTCATTTTATTTTTTTCCCCCGCATTTTTTCTCATTTTTCTTATTTTTTTTGCTTTTGGTTCATAGTCACTTAAGGATTCATGCAGCAGCTGAAGCCGCAAGCAAACAGGCAGCACCTTGTTCATGTAGTCAGTCAGTCAGTGGGTGAAAGTGGGTGGGCTCCGTTTTTTTATTTTTTTGGGGGGGTGTGGCTGAGTGGGCTTGTCAGACGCCGGCGGACATGCCCTGAATTTTAAAACCGTCGGTAGCAGAATTTTCAGCCTTGAGACAAAGCAAAGCCTGCGGTTTTCAGGCATCCATCATGGGCCTATTTATTCGCACTGATTTTATTTTAATTTCATTAAAATGATGTGACAGAACTTAATTGGTTTCCATTGTGAACGAGACAGCGGAGGCGGGCAGATTAAATCGCTTTAAATTATGGGGACAATAAACTGCCGGGACAAAGATAGCGACAATCTGTGTGTGTCTCTTTTAAAGTTTTCCCTGAGATAAATTTCATTTATAAATTGTTTATGGCAAATTATTTATGGATTCAACTGCATTTCGACTGAATTTCGATTATGCTCCATCAACAAAAAGAGTTGCAGTTCGAGTAAACAAAAAGCGTTTTCCATTTGCATATTTAATTTTTCAATTATGCACACCTAATTAGCATAGACTCTGAGTGCCAGTGCATTATAAACAGTTAACCCGTAATCTAGGATGTGGCATATACTATGGAATTTCGCCAAGGACTCGCCACTCGACGTGCAACATTCAAATTGAGTTGCATAACTTTGCACTGAGGTGAGCGAAGTCATTCAAATGCAAATTCCATTTGCATTTGACACTGGGAAATGTCAGGCACAGTCATCATCCGATTCGTGAGAGGGCGTGACCCTGCGAATTACGTCCGTCCCAAATAATTAACAATAATGCGGGCCCAATGACACCCGATCATAAATTTGAGTCAGGATGCGGCAAATCTGTCTGTGGGATTATGTATGCATACAAATACGAAATTCTGTCAGTTTAGGAATGTCACAGAACTAATGAAATTGCTTGGAATATTGAGTCATTTCTTTAAGAGGTTTATCTTTTCTTGCAAAATTTTTTATAATAGCTCAATTAATTGGTAAATTATTAAATGGTAGATAAATATGATTTTAGTTTTAAGATTTAAGAAACCCATTAAAATCCATTTAATGTTTAATATTTTAGTTGAATAATTTCAATTTCAGAGAAAACTAAGATTAACAATAAAAAAAGCCACGACATCTGACTATCACCCCCTTAGCCCCAAAAAAAACCTAGAGTCATGTGTGTTTAAAGAGCAAGCGCTCCAACGCCCATCATTCCATTTAGATGTAAATTACCAAGCTGGAAACGCGAACTGAAGGCAGGAAATAAAAGGAAATAAGCAACAAGCAAACAATGAGAACGAGAACTTGGTCCTTCCTTCTCTCCATTGTTTGGCTAGCGGTCCTTTGGACGTTTGTTTAGGACACAGACAGGACACTTTAACCCATATTAGCTTAGCGGAGAAACCGAAAAAGTTTGCATACATTAGGCCAAATGTTTTGCCCCTAGCTTTAAGCCACCGAATTTTCATT